CAACTTTATGATCAGAAGTAGCAAAGTTATTAATAGCGAAAATAATGACAATGAAAAAGATTAACAAAAATACCGAACTCCAAGGCAAATTCCAAAAGGGGGAGTCTATAAAAGCGGACAAAATCAAATGCTATCAATCAACGGAACAAGTGAAAAACAACTGCCATAGTCCTGACTTGGTATAGACATTTGCCGAAGAAAGTGGTGGGTTTACCTGGTTTTATAGTTAGCTAAACCTCCAACTTGTATGACAGCTGTTTATAGTTCGGTTGTGTTGACACAATTGAGTTAGAGCCAAATATAGAGGAGCAAGCTAATCTCCTGCTTTTTGATACACTTAGGTAGACTTAGGAAGGTAGTGTCGAGAGAAGAAGTATTGTCGACGCGATCAGCAGCCAAAGTTTTATTCACACCCCCAACGATAACGCGGCGTTTCTGGAATTTACATCGAACTGTTTTTTTGGACGCCCAGACCAAATCGTACTTTTGTGCTGATGAGGAGTCTAACGAGGACGCAGTCCATCTTCTCTCTCATCGTTTAATTATTGATAGTGTTCAGTTGATTAAGCAAGTTCTTGTTACACACAGAGTTGGGAGTGGTTGTATCCTTGTGTTGACCATAGCAGAGATCATGACGATATGCAGCTTGATCGACTCTATTGATTGGCATGGACCAAGGTTTTGGTGTTCTATCAGTATTCAATCGTTTGTACAGCTTAGTACCAGGTCCCGTGAAGTTGTGCCCAAGAAGATGCATCTCCACCTGTGAGTTGTTAATTAGTTAGTTCATAAAACCACCATCGGTAGTACTTATAAACTGGGATTTCCTCGATCCGCACACGGCGCAGGTTCCACCCCTCCGTCGTCGCCCGTTGATAGTCGCAACCTCAAAGCGACTGTTTGTCTCTGTATTCCTCTTACATTTCAAACACTAGATTGCCATTGTATTTAAATAAATGGACGTTGAAGACATCTTATACAAAAAAAACTTCAAACAGAAGCAATCACTTTCACCTCCCACAGAGGTCTGATAATTGGAAAGTCAGACGGCGGTAAGACAACGCTACTAAACAACCTTCCTCTTTGGTTGGGTGGTTAGATTTCGTTGACGTACTATCCCCACTAAGGCAACATGTCGGCATCGAACAAGAGGGAGACGTGCAAGACCCTCGAGAGCCTGACACCCACCGTAAAAACTTGATGGTGTTTGATGACTTGGTGATAAGCAAGCAGAACAAGGGCGAAGACTAATACGTCCGAGGTCGACACAACAACGCGTACGTCGAATGTTTCTATCTTTGTCAATACTTCTCCCGCGCCATTTGATCCGGGAGAACACCAACTTTGTGTGTCTCTTTCAACAAGACCCCAAGAATCTCCAACACATTCACCAAGATCAGTGTTCGTACTTAACCTTCAAGGTGTTTAAAACCTTATGCAATCGCTGCTGGTCTGAGCCTTACGGGGTTGTCACCATCGATCTGACTAGCACCAAGGGGAATGGGAAATACAGACGCAAATTAGAAGTGTTTTATGTACTTTTATATAAAGAATCTATCGTTACAAAGACTTCTTCGTAGAGAACCAGCGAGAGTTTAAGGTGGTCCTATAAACGCAAGTTCGAGAGTAAGCATATGTGGGAATGTGTAAATATCTCCACAAGATCTTTTCACGAGTTGTCCCAGGTTTCAGTTGTTTTGAATGTGGTGCTGAAAGGACCGATTGCATCGACTGCAATGCTGATTATGATACATGGTACGCTGGCAAGACCACAATGTAGTGAAATAATGGTCAGAGGACATCACTGCGTTTATTCGTGCCAACCGGGTAAAGATATCTTTGATCAACTGTGTAAACATTGGTGTGAATATTATCATGTGAGCCGATCTGGGGAGTATAGGGAATCTACAAATTTGGTTTGCTGCAAATGCCACAAAAAACCAAATGAGAGAAAATTATGAGTTGAATCGGGAATATAGATAACCTTCATTTATTCAACGACTTTTTAAAACTTGTGGCTATGGGGCGTTTTTTCAAACGCTATCAAATGATATGGAGTGTTTTTCTCAATCGCTATCAAACGCTAGGGGTGCTATATCAAACGCTATGGGCTATTTTATCACCCTATCAAACGCTAAGGGCTGTTTTAACAAACGCTATAAATAGAATGGCGTTTGTAGAAATTAACGATCCCAAGCAGCGTGAAGCTTTTGCTAGGAAGTTCCAGGATGTAAAGCACGGTATTTGGTCTATTTTCCATTTGACCCTTTCTTGGTGCATAACTAGGATCAAAACAAATCAAGTCTACGCATTGGTAAATGGTTAACTGTCTTGATTCATCATACCTTTATAGCCATGTCCCATGACACCTTCCATTATTTACTCTGGAAGCCCTGGAATAGCCCCCCCCCCCCCTCCCCTAATTCTGGTCCGAAATTTTCAAATTTCCAGCCCTAGATTCAGATTTTTGAACATTACGCGTCTAGAAACCCTACGAAAATCTCCTCCACAATACCTATATAGCCATACCTCGTGACATCCCCCATTATTTTTCTCTAGAAGCCCAAGAATAGGCCGACTCGCCTGTTGTTTGTCCGAATTTTTCAAATTTCGAGCCCAAGTATGAGATTTTCAATCAGTTGCCTTTACAATCAGCCTGGTGAACAACTATCTGAAACACAAATCCTACTGAAAACACCAGCTCCAAGTATTTTTTTTTCCTGAAAATAAAGAGACGTTGTAGCATAGTAAGCGCTACTTTTTGAATGACATGTTTAATTCATTAAAAAGTACAGTTAAGATTCATTTGGTCAATATTTAACCTTTGACATGTGTCATCTCCCATTAATATGACAAATCATATATATCCACGCCTTAATCATTAACATATTAAATGCACTCAAAGCTACCCTTTTCGTGCATTTAACACGTTTATTATTCGTAAAAGGCGTGCTATAAGTATAACACGTAAACGAAAGACGAAGGAGCAGAGAGTATATTACTGTTAATAAACGGGAAGTTGACTATTGCAAAGTTGAAATCATCAGACAGTTGTCATAAGTTGTCCATCTGTGTTCAAATCGGAACATCGGAAAAGAAATCTTTAAGAGTGGACAGGTCACAACGAGAAATTTGTGAAAATAATTGGGTTTCTTATCATTTTTTACGAGAATATTATATACGTAACTTGACGAATTCCCGTATTCCAAAATATAAGATACTACTAGACTAACAGTATACGAAGATGCTATGAAATCACATAAAGCATTCTGTACCATAAATACTGAATGCTAAACTGATACTGAATGGAGGTTTTGAATACATTTTTTAAACTGGTGTGACCATATCAAACCATTCTGGTGGTGAACTGTAATGTGAAGTGTGAATTCAAATTTTGAACGGAAGTGTCTTCTTTTACGTTCCCGTTCTGAAAAATCGGTGACGAAACGAATGGATGCATTTGGGTTCCTTTTTTGAGAAAGTGTTCCTTCTACGGTAGTCCTCGGGTTTTTTCCTTTTTAGCTTAACTGGCCCTTCGGACCAGGTGAGCTTTTCTCATCACTTGGCGTCCGTCGTCTGTCGTCGTCATTAACTATTTACATTTTGAACTTCTTCTAGAGAACCACTTAATGGAATGAAACCAAACATAGCATGAATGTTCCTTATGAGGTGCTGACCAAGTGTTGTTACTTTGTAGATGATCCATCATCCAAGATGGCCGCCAGCGGGGTGACTTCGTTTAACATAGGACCCTATGGGCAATACATACAAATGTCTTCTTTTAGAGAACCACTGAATGGAATGAAACTAAACATGGCATGAATGTTCCTTATGAGGTGCTGACCAAGTGTTGTTACTTTGTAGCAAATCTATCAACCAAGATGGCTGCCAACGGGGGACTTAGTTTAACAAAGGACCCTATGGGAAATATATACAAATGTCTTCTTCTAGAAAACCGCTTAATGGATTGAAACCAAACATGGTATGAATGTTTCTTTTGAGGTGCTGATCAAGTGTTGTTACCTTGTAGCTGATTTGTCATCCAAGATGGCTGCCAGCAGGGGACTAAGTTTAACATAAGACCCTATGGGAAATACATACAAATGCTTCTTCTAGAGGAGCACTGAATGGAATGAAACCAAACATGGCATAAATTTTCCTCATGAGGTGCTGATGAAGACCTTAATACATGTATCTTTATAGATTGAGATAAACTGTAAACTGCAAAAATATCAAGAAAAGAAGATCTACACATAAGTCAACATGAGCAAAATTGTCAATTGATATCTTGTTGGAGTTATTGTCCTTATAAAGTCATTTTCTACAATTTCAATAAATTTATTGGTAATTTCTGTAAACTTTACAAAAGTCTTCTGCTTTTGATTAAATTACGGGGCCAATATTAAACCAAATTTGGCCTCAATCATCATTAGGGTATCTGTTATGATTTTAATCTATTTTACATGATTTCCAAAACCAAAGTAGAATCAGATGAGCGACACAGGCTCTTTAGAGCCTCTAGTTTATTGTAAGTCCCGAATGGTTCCGAGTTCTGTATTTCCATTTCCATTTCTAAGCCTAAGGGGCCCTGGAGTTATCTATCGCGTTTCAATTGTAATTGCCAGTCAAGAAATATCCTTTACGAATAATAAAACCTTACAAATGCTACTATAATTCAATCTTTCGGAATTTCACACAACATATTCATTCAATCTCGCTTAAAAATATATGCGCAGTAACTGCGTCTTATTCCGTAAAATTTTGAGGGTGTCCAAATATGAATGTGTAGCTTACCACTATTCTCGCCCGTGGATTTTAAACATTCAGCCCCTTTGTTCAGAAAAATAGTATGTTTTTTTTCGAAATGTTAAAGGAGATGTTGGGCAAACGTCAATGAGACAGCAACATAGCGACCAAAAAATCGAAAGAAATCCTTCCTTTGTTTGGATTAACTTTCGTTGCGTTATAACTATTTATGGAATTTGTTTTACATTTTTCAGGCTGGCTTTGTTCCGAATGTCTTTAAAGCAATGTCTTACAGACCAGATGAATTGAAAGCTTTTATACAGTACTACGATGTAGTAATGGATGAAAAAGGTAAAAGAAATAAGTATATTACATAGATCTCTCCGAGAAATGTATCCATTTAACATTGATTACATGTCGGTCTTAAAGAAGTAGGTTCGATAAGGCCCTAAAATGGCCCCTATTTCTAGCTACAATTTCAAAATTAGGATTTATTTACCAATATCAAAACAAATCATAGCTATTATAATGACTAGATATATATTATGTCTTTTTATTAAAAATTTACGTACTTGCGTTTTTTCATGACGGTTAAAATCCAGACAATTTTGTCAAATTTCACAAAATCTCCATTTTTGGCCTATTTTGAATGTAAATATCAACGCTTTAAATAAAACTTTAACAAAAATATTTCTATTTAACTTTCTTACAAGTCTTTTCATCAACTTAAAGCATTTTTATGCCCAAGCCGTAGCTGATGGGGCATTACGTTTTACCCTTGTCCGTCTGTACGTCCGTACGTTCCAAAATTGGTTTCCGTTTTCTATCGTTAGTTTGCCTCAACTAAATTTTATGAAACTTATCCACAATGCTAATTACCACAAAACACAGATCAAGTTTGAATTTTGGTGGTGTCACTTTCACCGTTCTAAAGTTATGCCCCTTTACAAATGGAAAAATTGCTGAAATATTAGTTTTTGTTCTCTAACTTTAGTTTGCCTCAACCAAATGTTATGAAACTTATGCACAATGCTGATTACCACAAAACACAGATAAAGATTGAATTTTGGTGGCGTCACTTCTACTGTTCTAGAGTTATGCCCCTTTAAAAATGGAAAAATTGCTGATTTTTTTGTTTCCGTTCTCTAAATTGAGTTTGCCTCAACCAAATGTTATGAAACTTATGCACAATGCTAATTACCACAAAACACAGTTCAAGTTTAAATTTTGGTGGTGTCACTTTCACCGTTCTAAAATTATGCCCCTTTACAAATGGAAAAATTGCTGAAATATTAGTTTTTGTTCTTTAACTTTAGTTTGCCTCGACCAAATGTTATGAAACTTATGCACAATACTAATTGCCACAAAACACAGATAAAAATTGAATTTTGGTGGCGTCACTTCTACTGTTCTAGAATAATGCCCCTTTAAAAATGGAAAAATTGCTGATTTTTTTGTTTCTGTTCTCTAATTTAAGTTTACCTCAACTAAATGTTATGAAACTTATAAACAATGCTTATTACCACAAAACTCAGATCAAGTTCAAATTTGGGTAGTGTCACTTTTACAGTTCTTGAGTTATGGCCTTTTATAACGTTATATGCAAGCGGGGTAATCATCTGTGTCCCATGGAGCATACTCCTTTTGGCTGCTTTAAATATTTTTTGTAGTTTTAAAAAATCCTGTGTTTTCATGAGGGTCTGGATGGGGGTCTTTAATTTCTGTATATATCAAAGTAAGATTGGAAACTGATAGAACATATTTGATTTAGTCTTCTAAAACCACTTTTCTGCACAAAATTTTGTCTATTGTTATCTGAAAATCAATGGGGATCTTTCATTACAAATGTATATGTAAACTTATAGTCAAGGAAGGTGCAATCCGATGTACGGTAGATTATTTAGTAAATATGACATTGACCCTTTGACCAAGTGACATCATTATATGTGACTTTATATCCAAGGTGCAATCTTATATTTAAGTTAGCATCGTTAATGAATTACGGAATAACGGACGGACGAGTCAACACTATATACTACCTCTACTTTCGAGTGTTGGGAGTAAAATGCAGATCACCAGTTGCCGAAAAATTAAAACACAATATCTAGTGAACCCGATAACATCAGTGATAGGGTGTTAAAAGATCTAAGAACACAGATCGCACCAATCGTAACCATCAATTTTTCTAAATGATTAAAAATTGGCAAAACTCCAAAAAGACTGAATACAAGCACCAGCATTTAGAAAGGGTAACCACTTTAAGGCTGATAATTTTAAGTCAGTTTCTTTAAAAAAAAAAGAGGCGAAAGATACCAAAGGGATATTCAAACTCATAAGTCAAAAACGAACTGACCATGCCATGACAAAAACGAAAAACGACAAAAAGACAAACACCATTGTACAAAACACAATATATAAAACTAAAGACTTGGCAACACGAACCCCACCAAAAAACCGGCGGTGGTCTCAGGTGCTCCGGAAGGATAAACAGTCCTAGTCCACATGTATCACCCATCGTGTTGCTCATTGAAATACAAACGCGATGATCAGTCTAATTCGTTAGGTCACATTCGAGAAAAGAGGACGGGATTGTTTTTATGAAAATTGGAACATATCAGTTGTCATCTGTGAAACAGGTATTCCATAACGGTCAACCAATAGGTGATCGCGTCCATAAAATTTTCAAAGGGCTGATTTCAACTTCATGGCTTCTTTGTAAGCAGCAACCCTTTAACAAGGAAATCATGCAAGGGAATATTGTATCAATTGGGAGATATCTATACTACTAAAGAAAGAGACCGATTTCATTGAGCCGCAACTCCTCTGAAACCATACAAAGTTGGAAATATTTGTGATATGACGTATAAATGTAGTGTTTTTTACTTCCTAAATTTGTATTTGAAACAATCTTTTTTCCACAGAAAACGCCAATTTTTGAGAAAAAATATCCAAATTCGGAGACCGTTATCGATCCCTGTCTTATACGCATGCTCAGTCGACGTACTGCCCGCAGAATTTAACTTTATATATAAATAATATAGGACAATGGTGTAGATTAAGAATTACACCATTCCAGGCCCTTTTGTTTTCCACATAATTAATATTACCAATAATTAACAAGTTCCGGGTCGAATCAGCCTGGCATCCAGTGAGCCAGGATCCCAGACTAAAAAAAATACCTGATCCCTGTTACCTAATCTGTACGTTCTGCCTCTGTCAGGCGCACAACCAAACGGTGTATTGAGGATTTGCTATAAACACGGGTAATAATCACACCTGAACTTTATACAGGGAATAACTGTGCATCTTATAATCGGCGTGACTTTACCAAATGACAATACGGATTCTAAAAATCCAGGCTAAAAATAAGGTATAGGTTCTTTAATTCAGTCACGGACTCGCGAAGTCGCGGGTATGGTCTAGTATGTCCCATATGTAAGAGTTACTGAATATTGCTACATAGAAATGGAAGGTTCACAATTAGGAAGCCGAAATTTACTTGTATGTGCTGAAATGCACGGTACACATTGTGACTAGTAACATCATGGACTAATTAGAAACAAACAACATCATATACGACCTCCAACATGGTTTCTGAAATCAAGACATGCGAGTCACAATTGATTCAATTTATACAAGAACAACATAACAAAAATAACAAGCTTGTCTAACAGACCTCATCTTTATGGAGTTTAGCCAAAACCTTAAAAAATGTTCTCCTCGGCGTATACTCTATAAACTATTACTACGGCACACACAAGACAACACTGTGAAATGAATCCAGTTTTTTTACCTGACAGAACATAAACAGTGGTAAATGCATACAACACATGCAGTACCATTACATCAGATATGCCCAGATGCACTATCTTTGGGCATATACTCTTTTCAATTTATATATATTTACCTCGACGTCTCTTTGGTGGTGAAAGCATTGTATACCGAGAAATAGTATGTCAACAAGATTACACAAAACTACCAGCAGATCTGGAGGCGGATAGACTCATGGCCTTCCATCCTGGCAAATTTACTGTTTGGACAGAAAACAAACTATTTAAGCACAATAACATTCTGACTAACCTTATTTTAGAAGATGTAACATCCGCAAAATATCTTGGTGTAACCTTACAGTCAAACTTAAAATGGAACAACCAATAAGAAAATATAACATCAAGTGCAAACAAAATATCTCTGCTTCCTTAGAGAAACCTAAAAATATTAAACAGCAACATAAATTCACGCGCATATCAATGTATAGTGTGCCAAAAACTTGAATATAATCAATTTAACACAAATAATAGTACAATGGAATATGCCGCCACAAGTTGTAGCATTTCAAACAATTAAATCCTTAGAGAACAGTTAACACCAGCTGTTAGCCAATTGGTCTATATGGCGCTGGACACGTGCATGCGGATTTGCCACCATATCACAGAAACATGGGTTCAAATACGACTCGGGGGAACAACAACAATTAGCTTCTTGCAAATTTGCAGATCTGACATTAATGGGCTAAATTTCAAACTAAGTTGATATTTTTATATGGTTGCCATGACAACTATACTTACTAGTAGGACAAAGGAGGTTACAGTTGAGAAAACGTATGAATTTACATAAACAACAAATCCTTGACCCGTCTACTTGACCAATTCCTTTAAGTCAACATATTGAATTATGTGCTGAGGTGAAACTTTCAATTTTCAGTATTTATCCGCTTACCCAATGTTCACGAGTCTATGGAAGTCATCCAAATCGTAGCTGAATGTATGATCTTTTTGTTGTAACGGGATGATTTATTGTTTCTTGCAATGGAATGTATTAAAGCTAATATAAAGATATAAATGTAATTTATCTATTAAAGATATTTAATTTTTTTCAGCAATTTTTTTTTTTTTCAAAAGATCACCTGTCAACAATAAAGTCCATTAATATTTACTTTGATGTGTACCGATTTAAAAATGAGTTAAGTTGCTATGATCTGATAATTTTGATCCCGCAATGTATATATGGTGGAAGATTATCTTAGTAAATGACTCAAAACAGTATTACTATCTTAAATGCCGGAGATTGCCTATGAGTGGCCGTTCATGTCATTTGCGCGATTATATACGCGTATATAATTTTATACGCGTATGTATACGCGTATATTACCAACATATACGCGTATATTGCTGTCATATACGTTTTAAATGCGTATATTGTTGTTTTATACGCGTTTATTGTTAAAATACACGCGTATATATACATGTTAGTGCTGGAAATATTTTTCGACGCGTATATATAAATGTAAATTCTCTTTACTTTGCGCGTATATAAACGCGTTACTTTTGGGAAGGTGCCAATATTTCAAA